GTTGTTTTAATAAAAATGCCATTTTCCAGTACTACACAGGGTACTGGTCACAGACGACCACTGATACACTATAGAAATGTATCAAAGAGTTTTGTAGCTTTTTCTAAAAAGCATGTGTGTTCAAACTGAGCCATGTCACAGCCTCTTTTTAGTCATTCTTTACAAGTCATGCTTAGTTGTCAGATGTTGGTCCAAGCTGTAGAGCTACAGTTTTGTTCTCTTTCTGCTGGCAGTACTTTGGTAGTGCTTGCTCAATATGTGTTGGTAAACACGACTTCATCCTTTCAGTGCCAAAGCCAAAGAGGATGCCATTAAACCCTGTTGTACATCTCCAAAAAGCACAGGCCAGCTAAATACTTTATAAGTACTGCCTTTACTCCCTCCTCTTGTGAGTTCCTGTCATTGGTTCTTAGGAACAGCTAACCTCTCTCTGTAACTTTTTCTCTAAGTGTTGACAGAAGGAGCCAGAGAGTTTCCAGCATGCCTTGCCCTGGCCTGGGAGCAGCAGCAGCAGCTCTCAAGCTGTTCTCACCCCTCTGCACTGCTGTTGGCAGTACCCAGACACAGGGATGTGGATCACAGGCTGCATCCACCCTAAAAGGTGCCTGCTGCACAGTCAGACAGCGAGGCCTGGTTATTTCGGTGGGGTCCTTGAAGAACCCATGACAGATACTAATGCAGAGCCTTAACTACTATTGATTTCAGCCTGAGGGTGGGAATTGCTTCTTGTTAGAAAGAAATAGGCTTGTCTCATTCTCTCTAGAGCAATACGAGTGTCTGGAGAGGCTCTGGCAGACAGAAAGCTGCCTGCTTGCTGTTCCCCTGTGTAAAACAAGAAGAGTTTTCCCTGAACGAGGCAGGCAGATCCAGTCTGCAAAATGGCTTTGAAACAGTGTCCTATATTATCTCCATTTCTGCCTGGTTTGCTGCCATGTCTTTTGTTCCCTTTGGAAACCACCCAATGTATAGTTTTACATGACTAATTATTTGTTTTCATAGACAAGTATGTGACCTACTTCTGGCCAAATCTCTTCAGGCTCCTGATCCCTAGGAAATCCTATGATGACCTGTTTGCCTCTCAGTGTAAATCTCTCGGAATCGTTTTGCCTTCTTCACATGTTAAAAAAGCTGTGAAAACCTGTCTGACTGTTATTGAGGAGAAGTTTAGATTTTTAAATAAAAATCACTGGATTTGGGGTGGAGAAATTTTGAGAAAAATATAACACCAAGCCTGGCAGGGAGAAGGAGAACAGCAGTGGGTATCTCCTGCCCTTTTTTCATGGCAGAAATCACTGTATTGAGGAAAAAGTGTCTGAGAAGGGAGAATTAGTTTGGCTTTTAAATGCATTGCTGATGGTCTGGAGATCTGAGTCACGTTTGCCTGGCTTCATGTCCTGGTGCCAGTATGGAGAAGTCACCTGTGCTTCCCATACTTGAGGACAATGGACAATACTTCCTTCCCCTGACCTCCGAGTCAGGCTGAAGTCCTTCAGAGCTCCTTAAAAGAGAGACCCGAAGAGCTGTAACCACAGGCATCATGTAGAAAGGTTTTCCTACTTTCATTAATATTTTTGTCCCTTTCTTAAGGAGTAGGAAGGGGTGCTTTTTTTGACCAAGTAGCACAAATTCAATATACATTTCACGGCAATTAACCTGGCTTCCAAGCCAGGGTGAGCCTAAGACCTTTAATTTATTGAGGGAAAAATACGGTTTCTAATGCACCAATGGATTTTTTTTTTTTCAACTGGAATTCAGTTCTGGCTTGTTTAGTTAAGCTTCAGTTTGAGCAATGTTTGTTGGAGACCACAGTATCAGGAGGAAATGGTTGCCTCTGCTTGTTTCCCATGACCTATTACTTCAGCCTCCAAGGGGATGCATCTGGGGACTGCTCTGTTTATCTAGCTGACTACTGCTTCAGTGGGAATTTTGACACAGGAGGAAAGCTTGGCCAGCAGAGGGGAGGGGAATGGGGAGCTCTCCAGACTGGCAGCTCCTGTGGGAGAAAGGAAATGTTTTTCCTTGCAAAATCTGAAGATTAAAGTCTCTGGTCACTCTCCTCAGCAATCATCCTTCTTTTGGCTTATGTGTGTTAGTACAGAGCTCATTGTTGGCGTGGGGAAGAGGTGGTTTTCTCCAGCTTCGCTTGATCTCCTACTCCCTTCCCCCACTGTCACTTTTGTCTCTGATTAAATATTTTGAAAGGAAACAGATGGGGATGCTTTGAGCCCCAGCGGGCTAGAGTGCAGGATTCCTGAACCTGTGTGGGTATTGCTTAGCCTGGTGGTAATGTTTTACTGACCGGTTTATTTTCTTTTGGGTTTGAACAAAGGAGGCCTGACTGCTCCTGATTTATGAGAGATAAATAAAAAGCAGCTCGTTGTCTGCACTGCCATTTCTCAGCAATTGTCAGGAAGGAAAGAGATGGTCATGCCACTAATGATTTAAAGTGTGTGACCAGCAACTATACACTGCCATTAAATAATAGAAAAAAAAAAAAGGCTCTTGGCTTGTAATGAGCATTTGGCTCCTCTTGTTTTTAGAGGAAGTGAGTAATCAAAGGGGAAAAGCATGTCTGTTTAGAGTGACACCCATTTCAATGGGAGACTGTATTGCAGCCTGTCCCATTGCTTCTTTTGGCTGTTGCTGTTGCAACATCTTCCCCACACACACAGTGTCAGGCATGGAGTCCTGCTTCCTTCCATTGGTGATGATGCTTGTATCAGCCCTGTAAGGCAAGACATAAAACTCCTGATATCCTACAGGACAAAGAGAAACTTCCCATTACCTCCAGCAAAGGATTTCCCATGCAGTTCTGCTATCCTTACCCTGATATGGTTCACAGTTATGTGGAGTTTTGGCTGAGCACATGGCATTTTTGTGGAGAGTGCCACTGCTCCACAGTCACTGGGTTAGTGTTGTTACTATTCTAAGCAGCAGCAGCTGATACAAATTTAAAATTTTCTTAATAAAAAAAAGTGCAGAGTTATTTTCCAGTTACGTTTCTACTGCACACACTAGCAGCACTTGCAGTAGTGCCACTCTAAGCACACATGAAACAATAAGGATCTTTCTGATGCCTTCCAGACGAGCCAGAGCTATTTTGGGAGCTCTGTGTTTGTAAATTCTCAGATCATTTTTGCCTCCTTAACACTTAGAAGTAACTCCTTCCTGCCCTGCTTAAAATCAAGTGCTGCTTTTTAGTTTGATTTCCTGGAAATAGGCAGGGATTTCCAGGCTCTCGGAGTGCCTTTGTAGGGGCTTTTTCAGCAGCTAATTGTTTGTGAGGGTCTGTACTGCAGGCTGTAGCACCCAGGGCTTTGTTCTCGCCCTTACCTGTCATTCCCAGGTACAGGAGAAAGGACTCCTGGTTCTGAGCCGGGGGTCCCGGGGGATCCCCGACCCGCTCCTGCAAATCCATCTGCCCTGCCATGAGCACGGCCCGGCCGGGAGGAAGGGCGAGGGGAAGGGAAGCAGGCAGGGAGCCAAAGGGGTGTCCAGAGCCGCAGCCTCGCCCCTCGCTTCCCGGGGAGGGTCTGCCTGCAGAGCCTGCTCCTCATCCTGATGTTTGCCAGGCTTGTCATTTCATGTTCGTTCTCACAGCACAAAAAATGTAATTGCACGGTCCCTCCCACACGGCTCTCATCATCGCCTGCCGGGGCTGACTCGTTTCCTGTTTCATGCTTGCTTCAGCACTTCGTTTTTACCTTTTGCAGCTTTCCCTTTCCAGCCCCAGAAGCAATTCAGTGCCACGCTACATTCCCTGACTGCTAACCCAAGAGGTCCCCACAGTTTTTGGGTCTTAGAGCTCGGAGTCTTTCACGGGGTTTGGTTTTAAGGTACAAGAAGTAGCAGCTTTGTAGCATTTCCAGAAACAGGATCATTATCAAGCTGGCAGTGGCTCTGGGGCATGAATTTCAGAGGTTTCTACTTCATCAAGATTTAGATCTGAAAAGAAACCAAAGCTCTGAGGGATTTTCGCTTGCTTCAGAAGAAACCATGCTGAGAGTTGTGTCTCAAGGTCACTCAATCATCCCAGCCCCCCCTGCTCCTTCCCATCACATGGCCTGCTTCTAGCCAGCAAAGAATGAAAGCAGGGCCATGGATTGATTTTTCCCAAGGAAATCCTCCTGGGAGATAACCTGTGTGAATGCCTGGGCAGAGCCGGGCAGAGGTCCTAAGAATAGGGCTGAGCCTCACAAAAATCCTCACAGGATCACGGTTGGCTGCTCTAACCATAAATTGTATCAGCAGCTTTGGTTTCATGTGGTTACAAGCAGTGCAGAAACCAAAAAAGGCTTTCCCCAGGCTGTAACATTTAAAAAAATAAGGGGGGGACTGAAATAAAAGCTGCAAATTACTACCTTGTTTTGGGGCAAGGACAGGTTATCCTGACCTGATGAATGCAGTGTGCTGTTGGTGTTTATGTGTAGGGTCACTGATGTGCTGGTTCTAAAAAAACAAGTTCCAGCAACAAAAAGAGAGAAATCCCTCCCCCACTGATGCAAAATCTGCCTTCAGAGTAGGAGACGGGCTGCCTTGTCAGCTGGGGTAATTTGGCTTATCAGATTTATTAAAATGCTTGTCGGTAATACATGTTTTATCTGATGCTGCAATTTGTTTGCAGCACAAAATCAGTTTGTTTAATAAGCTTCTGAGGCCTGGGCAGAGAGGTGAAGGGTTTTATAATACGTGTGTTGGGAAGAGAATAAGCCCAGGAACCACACACAGCATCCAGCCTGTGCTAACATTCCATGTAGCTACAGGAGGCTTCAGGGCAGTGCTCAACATATTTGGGAACTTCTGTGCTTTCACAGCAGTGCACTGCCTCTGTCTCCAGTTCCATGCATTGAATGAGAGGCAGAAACTCGGAGGGATCCCTGTTAGACAAACACACACACCCCATTCACACAAGCTGTGTGTCACCTCCTTGTGTTTTGGCAGTGCATGTGTTGTACCTGCAGGTGACCAGCCCAGTGTGCTCTCCCTGGTCTCTGCTCTCCCTTCACTGACAGCTCTGCCACACTGGGCTGCAGACTCTCTTGGACCATCTAGCCTCCAACATGTGTTGCAGGGCCAGAACACCATGAGGCAGGGCTCTGCTAGCAAGCTCTCTGCCAACCTTGCATTTTTCTCCTCCCCATCTACCACTCCAAATCTGTCATCTCTCAGGAAGTACTGCACAAACTGCAGAACGTGATTTTTTATATTAGTTGCTTTAGACAGAGAATCATCCACAGCAGGGGCAACATAGAGAAGTAATGAATAGCTGTCCTGTCATTGGAAAATCCTCAGCACAGACCATTCATCTTTCCAGCAGCGCTCATCACACCCCAGTGAGGATTGTACTGCTCTAGTTCTCAGGAAATGGGATGTCCTGGAATTGATCTCTCTTCTCAGGAACTTACCTTGCTTCTCATTTTCCTGTGGTTTGACAACACACCTCATACTCATTCTCCCAGTGACACACTGGCAGTAGGTCAAGGAAGACAAAAATACTGGGGGAGTTGGCCACAAAAGAGTCTGAAGAGATTTCCTTCCTCCAAAGATGAGTTGTAGGTGGTTGCTGCCTTTGGATCTGAGTATGAAACAGGGGAATTAGAGCAGATTTGGCTAAGTTTCTCAGAAAAACACAGCTGATTAAAGAAAAACAAAATTGTTGAATAAAATGTGTGCAACATGTGAACAATCAAACCCCCCTGCACTGCCATCTCACACAGCACTAGCCAATGTCCGAGGCTTCAGGCTCCTGGCCAGCCTGGAGCTATTCCTTGGTTCAGCTGGCACGGGGCGTGTGTACAATCTCAGCTGCACGTAGGAGGGAGCAGAGGGACATTGGCTCTCACATTCAGGGCTGCCTGCACAAGCCCACCTAAAGGCACACACGGCAGACCTGGGCACCAGATACCCACAGCTTGCAGTTTTTCCAGGGATGGGCAGGGGCTGTACAGCCCCACGATCTCCCAGCAGCTGGAGCAGCCAACCCCACGTGGCTGCTGGTGCTGCTGAAGCAGGGCCAGTTCTAGGACAGAGGCTCAAGTGATGGCAGCTCCTGCTGCAAAGGACTCGCACAGCACAGCCAAGGCAAAAAGAGAAGTTCTGCAGATTTTGAGTCTTGTAAACTAAGATTGGTCACACAAAGTGTAAGTGAAGGAGATTGAGACCAAAGCCAAGTACTCAAATTTTAGTTCTTGCCTATATATCAACCAATGGAAATTCATAAGAGACAGACTTTAAAAAGTGAACAGGCATCCAAAAGTCCTCTGGCACCTTTGCAAATCTAACTAGTGATGTGCTGATGCTTAACTAGACTTAAGTTCCTGACTTCAGGCATTAGGTGTCTGAAACTTTCTCTTGCATCTTTTTCACCCTTTAGCAGAGCATTCTCAAGTCAGTTAGCAAGACTTACTCGAGCAACTGCAATACTCCCTAGGAAAATAATGTATTATTATTAGAGTACATAGAGTACTAGTCTCTCTTAGGATCATTTACATGTAGAGCAGAACAAATTTTAGCACATTGAAGTTTTACTAAGTAAGGAGATGAGAATTACCATGTTTACATTTTACTCTAAGTCACATCAGATTGGGGTGTATGGTAGAAGATGCGGGACACTGAGCCCTGGATGTGATGGCAGAACAGTGCCAGCAGGGAACTCTAAACAGTGCCACAAGTTCACTCCCTGAGAGTGATTTGTCCACGTTGTTACATTTTCACGCTCCTCCTGAAAGCAAAGGGAACTTTTATGAGAGAGTGATGTGAAGTCGAAGTCAGTCTGTTTCCAAATTCAAGAGTGTTTGTCACTAGGGATCAGCAATAAGCAATGCGACTCTTTTGCCTGTATGTTAATACAAGGCAACAGGGAAATGTCTGCATATTTTTGTACATACTCTGAGTTAATTATTACCACAAGACTATTCTTTAAAGTCGTACTGAAAATATTTTCCCTAAGAAAACAGTCAGTGATTGGAAAAGCAAATAAATCAGTGTTTAAAGACTTGTTATCTTACTATCCTTACTGCAACTGGCTCCTGCAAGCTCTGATGATGGATGAGCACATTAGAACTGCACGTATTTAAGGCACTACAGGCTTTTCAGTGCCAGGAGCTTAAAGTACACTGTCAAGTTATAAATCACAGGCCAAAGTTGTGCCTTGACATCAAGCACTCCAAGCAACTAGAATGGCAGTATTATTTTTAAGTCCTTGCATGTTTCTAATGAATATTGGATTTGCTTTTAATTTTTGTTTTCACCATGTTTGTTTGTTTGCATTTTGATCAGCTTGAGCAGGCAAACTGGCAAGTACATATCCAGTATATCTCAGTTCTGCTTATATGTGCTGTGTTTGATTTGCAAATATTTAAAACACTTTGGGAGAAATTATATCTATTATATTTGGCTTGTTTTAAAAACTGTTTGTTGGTTTTTTTTTTTTTTTTCATTGTATAAAACTTCAAACTTGAGTTAAAATGTCTTATCCTTCTCTTGGGGTGTGGGACAAACTGATCCCTTCCCTGCTTAGTCTTTCCTGATTCTCTACACATTCTGCCCACCTGTCCTCTCTGACTGTACTCTGGGGTTGGTTAACACTTGTCTGCAGCTCCTTCCACCTGCACATGTTGCAGAACACAAGAGTCACCTGTGGCCTGGTGCTTTGGTTCTGTCCGTCTTCTGGTTAAGACTCATGTATTCTCTCTTTAGGTGCAAAATTTCCCATTAAATGGACTGCACCAGAAGCGGCACTGTATGGAAGGTTCACAATAAAGTCAGATGTGTGGTCTTTTGGGATCCTACTGACAGAGCTGGTAACAAAAGGGAGAGTGCCATACCCAGGTAAGAAAAGTGTCCTGCTTCACCTGGAAAAAAGAGTGGGAATGGGCCATATGTTTAAGCTGGAATGTTCATTTATATTCTCTGAGCTAAAGGAGAATGGCTATAATGTGTAAGTTTTGTGTATGCTTGAAAACAGTTCTGACTCAAAACTGCTTTGTGATGGTCATGATAAAAATGACAAGGGGACAATTCATTTCTATTGTTTTAATTGTGCTCAATTAAATGAATATAATTTCTAGACAACTAATGAAAGCAGTGTAAAATTATTATATTCTGGAGCAAATAGCTCTCAGTAGTATTGCATTTACTTGAAGATACCAACAGTTAAACTCCCACAGAGGCCTTACTCCGTTTATTCTGTCAGTCTGGTTCATTGCAAGGTTTGATGACTATCTGAATGTCTGGTACTATCAAACCTCTTTTTCATAAACTCTTAAATTTCAATTTTTGCTTTTGAGATGGACGGAAAGAGAAGAAAATAGTTCTATAATGTGCAGACCAGAGCTCATGGCAGGGTCACAGCAGGGCCAGATTCTCTGCATGGGGGAACTGGAGGCCCCATGGCTCTTTGTTGAAACTCTGCCAAGTGTCCAATGGATTAAGATTTTTAGGAGGGAGTGATTGGATCTGCCTATGCAGAAAGAGCTTTTTATTCTTGTTGTCCCCCAGAAGATTTTAGGCATTCAGGTGAAGAGGAAAGGGGTTAGGTGAAAGCCATGCATTACACAGAAAATAATTTAATCCCTTCTTTTTTCTCATCAGCACAGATATTAACAACAGGGGATGCCCAGCATTCTAAGATGCATCTACCAGTATTTTTAGTCTTTTTATTAAAAAAAAATATATATAAATACTCAACAGTCTGGCTGTGTGCACTGCAGTTGATTTAATGGAAAGTGCTCTACAGCAGTTTCAATTTTCCAATCTGTGCTGTGATCAAGCAGTCAGATCCATATATCAAACTGAGCAGGAGAAGCATCTAGGTGAAGTTCAGTTTATCCTGTGGTGTGTCACACGACTTCAGAAGACTCAAAGCAGCAAAACTAATCTAGACTTTTACCAGGAATTTCAAGTTTGCTAGCACCTAGCAGCCAGTAGCTGATATTTGAGAAGAGAATATTGGGACTGGAAGGCATCTCATGATCAGCAGTGAACTTTGGCATGATTAACAGGGAGCAGCTTAGCAAAGGTGTGGCTGTGACAACTGAATGAGCTAGCAGAAAATATATGGTCATATTTCTGTGGAATGGATGAGTCCTTCTGCCCAGCACTTCCCCGTGTGGGGTGTTGCCTCCAGCCAGAGCAGCCATGTCACCAGTCAGCACAAAGGTCTTCCTGCCATAAGGATTCCTGGAATGATTTCTGCAGGTTTATGGAGGGTTTAAGAAGACATGGCATGCTGTGCAAAGGTCAAAGACAGAAAAAAATATGTATAAGCTTTAGTTGATGCGGTGTTGCTCGCAGAGGGGGGGCAATGTTCCTGACTGGGCTGCAGGAATTCTCTAGTGACTGCCAGCAGAGTGGGTGCATGGGGGCTGTCACCAGCCAGGGCAGAGTTAAGGTGAAAATACCATTCCATGTAAAAACAGCCAATTAAGCCCTATGTTTACTCACAAGTCTGTAACTGAACACAGGGTTGGCCATGGCTGCAGAGGATGTCTGCACTTCATAAATGTTTCTTTCCCTCACCAAAGGAGAAGGAGTCCACAGGATGTGCGTTTAAGTGCTTGCAATATATAACTTCTTGTAGGAGCCATGACAGTAATCTCAGGCATGGGCTGTGTCCTGAAATTCTGGACAGTTTTATTACGTGGCAGCTTGAGCACATCAAAGACAACCAGCAGGATCTCTCCTCTTTCAGCACCATCCTACCCCTTCATCCCTCACTACACAAAGCCCTCACATGCTGAAAGTCCTTCCAGCTCACTCTCCCCCACGTGCACTAGGAAGACACCAAGTAGCTGGAAGCAATTTTTTGTGTGTTACATATCACTAAGTCAGCAATTTTCTGGACAGTCATGTACTGCCTTGGTTACACCCTGCCCAGGCTCTATGCCAGGGCCATTCCTTCCCACCAGGACCTCCCTATTGCTCATCTGGGAGGCCTTAACCATTCTCACAGTCACCATCACTCCCCTCTCCCATTTTTACATAAGGGCAGCCTGGATCTTTCATTTGAATGTCCAGAGTCTTCACAGATTTCAGTCCACTCTCATTTTCCAGGCCCTAAATGGGAAAGCTTTTATAGGCTGAGGCAGCAGTGGAAGGGAACTTCCCAGAAGGATCTGTCTTTGCAAGTGGATTGAAAGGAGAGCTTGGACTTCCCAAGGTGACAAAGGCCTCCTGAGCTCCTTAGAAAACTCTCTTTTCCCTTGACGTAGAAAGGACCATCTATCTCCTGCTTCATCCTGGGAAGAGGAAGGACCTTGTGAAGGACAAAGTTTCATGAATCCCTGCCTGAGATAGGGAATAGGGTTCAGATGCACCCACGGGGCTTGTCTTGCCATTATGTCATGGCTTGCATGAGAAGGAAAAATGGGATTTCTATCACCCTGAGAGGCAAGACTCAGCCCTCTTCACCCAAGTAGACAACCCATAGGTGAGAGAATGCGGTCTGTTGGCACTGCCAGCACTTTGGTACCCAGGATGTGACACTGAAAAGTGTCATCCTTGAAACAAAGAGGGACATGGAGCTGTCTGACTGCTGTAATATCCAGTTTCTGAAATACTTGTGAGCATGTTGTCTTGATGTTCCTACTTACATCTTGTAGCAGGCTGAGGAAAGTGGGGAGAGGCCCTCAGACAAAAGGATTTCTCTCTTGCTCAATAAGCTCTTAGTGCCTGAGAGATGATTTATAGCACACATACCAGTCCTGGGGTGGTACCCATGCCTGCTGGACACCATACCTCCTGCCTTCCCAAGTCTGGAACCAGGCATTGTTTTAAACTTGTGTAGAAGGAGGGAGAAGCACAATGGGTAGGACAGAGGGGGAGGGCAGGCAGTTTACAGCAGAGAAGCAGACTGGGTGGAACAGAACTTGGCATTCTTTGTCCTACAGATTTCAACCAATTCCTGTCCTGATGCCCAATTGTGGAAGAGAGGCCGTGGTGAGATACATAAGCAGTAAAGATTTTGCTGGTGGAGATAAAGATCAGTCTAGAGCTCATAATAAACCTTGCCCCAAACCCTATAGCTCCCATAAGCAATACTAATTTTTTGGAAGGTGTCCTCATGTTCAACCAAGCCTGTTTCTCTAATGGGCCACTATAATAACTAATTTATGCCTTTTTTATGTTTTCTTACCATTTTCACAAGGCAACAGATTAAAATAAGCAACTTTCACAATCTTTCACACAGAGGTTCTATTTTCATTATTACGGTGGAGGCAAGAAGAAGAGCCAAGCTTAAGAAATAGTCTGCTTAGTGGACCTTTTTCAGTGTCAGTTTCTTTTCTCTTTGACAAATGCCCTTCCCTAGCAGTAGCTGTAGAATTTGTGGCTTTTTAACATGCTACCTTTGGGATAGGCAAAAATCTCAGCCACACCAAACAAGCACCTTTGACCTTACCTCTTCTGCTTTCTGCTGCAGTTGTCACATCAAGAGCATTTTCATTTTAACTCTAGTGTGACAGCCACCATGATGCTACTCACACTGCTGCCTCTGGCCAGGCAGGTCTTTGAGCCTGGGCTCCAAGCAGCCCTGCAGCCTTTGGGCAGCTGTATTCAGTCTCCTCATCCCTGAGGGAAGCTGGGCCATGAGTTCCAGAGAGCATGTGGTACCCAAGCCTGGGGCCAAGTACATAACAGTAAGCCAGCACAGGCAGGTCCGTGTAACATCATCGTGGATGGGAAACAGGAGGCTAAAAAAGATGTGTACTCACCACATAGGATAGATAAGGTCAGGTGGGGTTTATTTGTAAGCAAGGAAGCTCCGCTCACAAACGCTGTGCCTCAACGTTGCATCTATTTATCTGTTATACCTAGCAAATAATAACTTATTTTTAAAAACAAAACCAAAGCAAAAAACAGATATTGATAGTCTAGCTTTGAGGATGAGGAGATGTTGGGGGTTTTCAGGCTTCAGTTTCTAAGTGAAGTGGCATGACTTCCAGAGTTTTAAACTGTGTTGCTCCTTTTCCACAGAAATAACTTGGTTTGTATTGCACTCAGTATGAATAACATTCAGAGGTTCTTCCCTTAGGAGCAGCTTTGCTGTTCCCTTCCTTGCACTGTATTAGTTTGATCACTGGTCTAAAAGCATTCAGTGGGTCTGGAAGGAGCATCCTTCTCAGTCTGTGTATTGGGTTTGCATGGCCAAGCCATCATAGTGGGGGGGAAGTGCCCGAGAAGAGGCTGTGACCTTGTGGGAAGCCTGTGGAGAGAGGAGCCCCTCCTGGAGTAGCCTGTCCTTGAAGGACCTTGAACTCCCACACTGCAGCAGTTTGGGGAGAACTGTTGCCCGTGGGATGGACCCATGCTGGAGAAGTTCATGGAGAACTGTCTCCCATGTCAGGACCCCATGCTGGAGCAGGGGAAGGACTCCTCTCTCTGAGCTGCAGGAGAAACAGCCAGTGACGAGCTAACTATAACACCCATTCCCTGTCTCCCTGCACCACCGAGGGAGGAGCTAGAGCTGGGAAGGAGGGAGGGGTGTGGATAGGGTGTTTTTAAGGTCTTCTCATTATCCTGCTCTGATTTTGTTAGCAATAAATTCAATTGATATCTCTAGTTCTAGCCTGTTTTGCCTGTGACACTATTTGGCAAGTGATCTATCCTGGTCCTTATCTCAATTCATGAACCCTTCGTTATATTTTCTCTTCCCTGTCCACCTGTAGAGTGGAGGGAGAGAGAGGCTTTGGTGGGTACTTGGCATCCAGCCAGAGTCAACCCACTACAGTCTAAGAGAGGAAAGCAATTATAAAGTAGCCTAAAACAATCACTCTCCTCACTGGATTTCACATGTCCCAAAGTAATCTGTATAGCTCATTAATTTGGATGCA